ATTGCCCAAAAAGTTTAGGAATTAGGGGCCAAAAAGGGGCCAAAAATAAGCATTTTTCTAGTTTTCAGACGATAACTTGTGTTCAAGTTTATGGATCTTTCTGAAATTGTACTGCAAGGTACCATATCACAAAGGGAAGGCTGGGATTGATTTTGGGGGTAATTGCCTCAAAATTTTAGTAATTAGGGGCCATAAAAGGGCAAAAAAACAAGCATTTTTCTAGTTTCAGGACAATAACTTGTGTGTAAGTGTATGGATCTTTATGAAATTGTACTGCAAGGTTCCATATCACAAAGGGAAAGCTGGGTTTGAGTTTGGGGGTAATTGCCCTAAACGTTTAGGAATTTGGGGCCAAAAAACAAGCATTTTCTAGTTTCCAGACAATAACTTGTGTTCAAGTGTATGGATCTCTCTGAAATTGTACTGCAAGGTACCATACCACAAAGGGAAGGCTGGGATTGATTTTGGGGGTAATTCCCTCAAAATTTTAGTAATTAGGGGCCATAAAAGGGCAAAAAAACAAGCATTTTTATACGACCACAAAAATTAAAAAATTTTTGGTCGTATATTGGTATGACGTTGGCGTCGTCGTCGTCTGGCGTTGTCCGAAGACACAATGGTTTTCGCACTCTAACTTTAGTTTAAGTGAATGGATCTCCATAAAATTTTACCATCAGGTTCAATACCACGAAAGGAAGGTTGGGATTGATTTTGGGGGTTATGGTACCAACAGTTAAGGAATAAGGGGCCAAAAAGGGGCCAAAAATAAGCATTTTTGTAACTTCCAGACAATAACTTGTGTGTAAGTGTATGGATCTCTCTGACATTGTACCACAAGGTTCCATATCACAAAGGGAAGGCTGTAATTGATTTTGGGGGTAATTGCCTCAAAATTGTAGGAATTAGGGGCCAAAAAAGGGGAAAAAAACAAGCATTTTTCTAGTTTCATGACAATAACTTGTGTGTAAGTGTTTGGATATTTCTGAAATTGTACTACAAGGTTCCATATCACAAAGGGAAAGCTGGAATTGAGTTTGGGGGTAATTGCCTGAAACGTTTAGGAATTGGGGGCCAAAAAGGGGCCAAAAATAAGCATTTTTCTAGTTTCCAGACAATAACTTGTGTTCAAGTGTATGGATCTCTCTGAAATTGTACTGCAAGGTACCATACCACAAAGGGAAGGCTGGGATTGAGTTTGGGGGTGATGAATTATAAGGGGGTTCAAAGAATTTGGGGGGGGGGGGATTTTTTTTTTTTTTTTTTTTTCTTTTTTTCCTTTTTTTTTTCTTTTAAAATTTTCCATTTTAAGTTGGTTATTTCTGATTTATATTTAAAAGCAAATTATAATGATATGGTAGGAGATACACACCAAACAGGATGTGTAAATTATTATATAATAAGTATTGTGCAATAGCAAGAAATTTTCAATTGCACAGTATTACACAATAGCAAGAAATCTTCAATTGCAAAGTATTGCGCAATAGCAAGAAATCTTCAATTGCACAGTATTGCGCAATAGCAAGAAATATTCAATAGCACAATATTGCGCAATAGCAAGAAATTGTCAATTGTACAGTATTGCGCAATAGCAAGAAATATTCAATTGCACAGTATTGTGCAAAAGAAGATACTTCGTATAAATTGCTTATTTCTTGATCAATTTCAATGGGGTTTTATTCTTGAATTCTTGGGGTCTTTAATATGCTGAATCTAACCGTGTATTAAGTTTTTGGATTTTGGGCCCCGTTTTTAAATTGGTCCACATTGAGGTCCAAAGGGTCCAAAATTTAACTTTGTTTGATTTCATCAAAAATTGAATTATTGGGGTTCTTTGATATGCCGAATCTAACAGTGTATTTAGATTCTTAATTTTTGGTTCCGTTTTCAAATTGGTCTACATTGAGGTCCAAAGGGTCCAAAATTAAACTTAGTTTGATTTTAACAAAAATTGAATTTTTAGGGTTCTTTGATATGCTGAATCTAAACATGTATTTAGATTTTTGATTATGGGCCCAGTTTTCAAGTTGGTCCAAATCGGGGTCCAAAATTAAACTTTGTTTGATTTCAACAAAAATTTAATATATGGGGTTCTTTGATATGCTGAATCTAACCATGTATTTAGATTTTTGATTTTTGGGCCCCGTTATCAACTTTGTCCACATTGAGGTCAAAAGGGTCCAAAATTTAACTTTGTTTGATTTCATCAAAAATTGAATTCTTGGGGTTCTTTGATATGCTGAATCTAACCATGTTTTTATACGACCGCAAAAATTAAAAATTTTTTGGTCGTATATTGGTATGACATTGGCGTCGTCGTCGTTGTCCGGCGTCGTCCGAAGACACATTGGTTTTCGCACTCTAACTTTAGTTTAAGTGAATGGATCTCGATGAAATTTTACCATAAGGTTCAATACCACGAAAGGAAGGTTGGGATTGATTTTGGGGGTTATGGTACCAACAGTTAAGGAATTAGGGGCCAAAAATAAGCATTTTTGTAACTTCCAGACAATAACTTGTGTGTAAGTGTATGGATCTCTCTGACATTGTACCACAAGGTTCCATATCACAAAGGGAAAGCTGTAATTAATTTTGGGGGTAATTGCCCCAAAATTGTAGGAATTAGGGGCCAAAAAAGGGGAAAAAAACAAGCATTTTTCTAGTTTCATGACAATAACTTGTGTGTAAGTGTTTGGATATTTCTGAAATTGTACTACAAGGTTCCATATCACAAAGGGAAAGCTGGAATTGAGTTTGGGGGTAATTGCCTGAAACGTTTAGGAATTGGGGGCCAAAAAGGGGCCAAAAATAAGCATTTTTCTAGTTTCCAGACAATAACTTGTGTTCAAGTGTATGGATCTCTCTGAAATTGTACTGCAAGGTACCATACCACAAAGGGAAGGCTGGGATTGAGTTTGGGGGTGATGAATTATAAGGGGGTTCAAAGAATTTGGGGGGGGGGGGGGGGTTTTCTTTTTTTTTCTTTTTTTCCTTTTTTTTTTCTTTTAAAATTTTCCATTTTAAGTTGGTTATTTCTGATTTATATTTAAATGCAAATTATAATGATATGGTAGGAGATACACACCAAACAGGATGTGTAAATTATTATATAATAAGTATTGTGCAATAGCAAGAAATTTTCAATTGCACAGTATTGCACAATAGCAAGAAATCTTCAATTGCACAGTATTGCGCAATAGCAAGAAATCTTCAATTGCACAGTATTGCGCAATAGCAAGAAATATTCAATAGCACAATATTGGGCAATAGCAAGAAATTGTCAATTGTACAGTATTGCGCAATAGCAAGAAATATTCAATTGCACAGTATTGTGCAAAAGAAGATACTTCGTATAAATTGCTTATTTCTTGATCAATTTCAATGGGGTTTTATTCTTGAATTCTTGGGGTCTTTAATATGCTGAATCTAACCGTGTATTAAGTTTTTGGATTTTGGGCCCCGTTTTTAAATTGGTCCACATTGAGGTCCAAAGGGTCCAAGATTTAACTTTGTTTGATTTCATCAAAAATTGAATTATTGGGGTTCTTTGATATGCCGAATCTAACAGTGTATTTAGATTCTTAATTTTTGGTTCCGTTTTCAAATTGGTCTACATTGAGGTCCAAAGGGTCCAAAATTAAACTTAGTTTGATTTTAACAAAAATTGAATTTTTAGGGTTCTTTGATATGCTGAATCTAACCATGTATTTAGATTTTTGATTTTTGGGCCCCGTTATCAACTTTGTCCACATTGAGGTCAAAAGGGTCCAAAATTAAACTTTGTTTGATTTCATCAAAAATTGAATTCTTGGGGTTCTTTGATATGCTGAATCTAACCATGTTTTTAGATTTTGGATATTGGACCATAATAGGTGAATGTCCAATTCAAAATTTTTAAGTTCTTAGACCACATTCATTCTGTGTCAGAAACCTATGCTGTGTCAAATATTTAATCACAATCCAAATTCAGAGCTGTATCAAGCTTGAATGTTGTGTCCATACTTGCCCCAACTGTTCAGGGTTCGACCTCTGCGGTCGTATCAAGCTGCGCCCTGCGGAGCATTTTATTTAGTTTCAGGACAATAAATTGTGTGTAAGTGTATGGATCTTTATGAAATTGTACTGCAAGGTTCCATACCACAAAAGGAAAGCTGGGTTTGAGTTTGGGGGTAATTGCCCTAAACGTTTAGGAATTTGGGGCCAAAAAGGGGCCAAAAAACAAGCATTTTTCTAGTTTCCAGACAATAACTTGTGTTCAAGTGTATGGATCTCTCTGAAATTGTGCTGCAAGGTACCATACCACAAAGGGAAGGCTGGGATTTAGTTTGGGGGTGATGAATCATAAGGGGGTTCAAAAAATTTGGGGGGGATTTTTTTTTTCCTTTTTTTTCTTTAAAATTTACCATTTTAAATTGGTTATTTCTGATTTATATATAAAAGCAAATAATAATGATATGGTTTGAATAAGTAAATTAAAAATTTTTAAGTTCTTAGACCACTTTCATTCTGTGTCAGAAACCTATGCTGTGTCAAATATTTAATTACAATCCAAATTCAGTGCTGTATCAAGCTTGAATGTTGTGTCCATACTTGCCCCAACTGTTCAGGGTTCGACCTCTGCGGTCGTATCAAGCTGCGCCCCAGCGTAGCATTTTATTTGAAATGGTATTACTCCAATTCTTTCCATAGGCAAGTAAGAGTCAGTATGATTATAAACTGTCATGATTTTCAAATAATTACACTCAAAGGTGTAAGTATTAATTGGAAACAACCCCAGTCTTAATTCAGCACATTTGATATCTCATGACCTGTTACATGATTAAATAGGCACAATTTATTACACACCTAACTGAATACACACATTCTTGACCTCAATAGTAAACCTACAAATGTATTATTTATTTTGATCTACACTACATTCAAATATTCTGTTAATTTTGCTAGCTAGCTGAATGATTAATCGGACATGGTTTTTTTTCAAAGAAAAGACAAAAAATTTAAAAATATGTATAAAAAATGCAAGCAAATTTTATTTCACTTGTAAAATCAGTGTCATTATCATCGGACATAAGTCAATAATCAAGATCTAATTAATTAGTTACAATTATCAGAAATTTGGTTGAAACAATAAACAAAATTGCTTAACTCTTACCTGAGCATTTTCTGCAATAAAATTTATTGGTTTGTTCTACATTTATATCCCATTCTATGGCCCGAGAACACAGTTATTTCGTAGTGCATTTCTTTTAGACAATAAATTCAAATTAAAAAAATCGCACCTGCTCTATCTCAAAAAGATTTTTACAGTGTAGTGTACTACTATTGATACAAAAAATATCAAAATTATAGAAACTTCTACCAGCTCTAACTCAAAATATTGACAATTCTGTGTTAAGGGGGGCTAAAATTCAGTTTGACTAGAGCTTCAGACATTCTAATTTTTGACCTTTTTTAACTGGACCAAATCACTACTTAACATAAAGATTCAGCACCCAAATTTTTTTAGCATTTAATTTCATCCCCTTAATATTTCATGCATAAAATATCAAGAAATGAATTGGGAAAGTGTATAAAAAAAAATGCAAGTTATACACTGTTCATACTAGGGACTATATTCGTAGACAACGAAAACCAAAGGACGATAACTGTGTCCTTGGACCTAATAGGATAGAAAGACTTGACCAATTTTATTAAAACTTTGCATGACCTAAGCTTAGGAAATTATAAGATAGTTGGCCAAGTTTCATGGCCATAGAATCTATATTATAGAAACTAGGGCCATTTTAATATTGATATTTGGATATTTATTTTTGACGTTTAAATCAAATATTTTCAACTGTCAAGATTTCAGCCTAAAAAATTTAAATATTGCAAAAATTTGCTTTTTAAATACTCTTGAATATAATATAATTAGTATTAAAGCAACGGAACACTCATTTGATTTATCAGATCTATTACAGCTATTCAATTGTCAAATTTATATGAGCCTGTGCCTGAAAATAGAGATTTTCGAATTAAGGGAAGCCTTACATAAACATGCATTTTTTTCAACCAATTTGAAGTTTTTGAAGTTTTTTAACCATACATTATTCTTCCATATATATAAAATGTACTTTAAATGTAAAGAAAAGTTACAAAAAGCATACCACATGAGTATGAAATGGTCTTAGGCCATGTAAGACTGAGAACTATTTAGAGTCGATTTAGGCAGTAGCCCATATTTACATATAAAAATGCACACAGAGGCTATAAGAAATGGAAATTTGTTACTTTTTGCTCATTTCTATGCTGAGATGTCATGATACAAGAAGTCTAATTGCAAAAGGACTCTTGAATTCAACTTTTTTTTGCAGACAGTATGGTCTGATGACCAGTTTTTCACTTTTCAATGGAAAACTTGCATGTAGTTTTAGTCTCAATTGGCATATATTTGAACCACTTGCTATCCTAAAGAAGAAAATTATGGTAGCATATGAAATGAATAGGGTGTACTGATCATTGTAAAGTGTTTTTTTTTTTACAGATTTAGTGAAATATTTGTGATGGACTACAGATTTTATGTACAAAACTCTTCACATTTCACATACATCAAACAGGCCGTTTAACCAGGGACTTCAATACAAATATTCTGCACATTTTTTCTGTGATAATCTACTTTTCTTTAGATTCAGAGTTCACAAATGGTTAATTAAATTTGATTTAAGCATAGAAACACAAATATCAGGAACATAAAAAGCTGTCAGATAGAAAGTCAGCATGGCTCTTAGGCATAAAATGGAAACTGCTTTAAAATGCTTATTTTAGCCGTATAATGGCAAAATGGGACATTTTAACAGAATTTCTGTCAAACAAAGATGTAAATCCTTTACTTTTATTGAGTTTGACAAATCGAAACCAGCAAACCATTCAGGAAAGTTGCCAAAGTACAATATCTACATTTACGGAATTCATCTCTTAGGCCCGAGAACACAGTTATTTCGTAGTGCATTTCTTTTAGACAATAAATTCAAATTAAAAAAAATCGCACCTGCTCTATCTCAAAAAGATTTTAACAGTGTAGTGTACTACTATTGATACAAATAATATCAAAATTATAGAAACTTCTACCAGCTCTAATCAAAATATTGACAATTCTGTGTTAAGGGGGGCTAAAATTCAGTTTGACAGCTTCAGACATTCTAATTTTTGACCTTTTTTAACTGGACCAAATCACTACTTAACATAAAGATTCAGCACCCAAATTTTTTTAACATTTAATTTCATCCCCTTACTTAATATTTCATGCATAAAATATAAAGAAATAAATTGGGAAAGTGTATAAAAAAATATGCAAGTTATACACTGTTCATACTAGGGACTATATTCGTAGACAACGAAAACCAAAGGACAATAACTGTGTCCTTGGACCATATTGCTATTTAACAGTAATTGGAAATATCTCAGCATTAGGTATTTGTACAATTAAATTTGAAGAATGAGCACCAATTAAGATAAAAAATAGTTATTATTTTTGATTCAGCCATGCTGGATCTATGCGATCACTCTGTTTTCGGAGATGGTGCAGAATACTAAGTTGAAGACATATCTTGAAACTAATTATGTGTTCTTATGACTTGCAGAATCTTTCTACACCATTATAATCATCAACTGCCAACTTTTGACATGTTATTTGCCCTTAAATTAAGAAAAGATTGGTCGAACAACCCTTTTATTTTAGATATACACTTGCATATAGTTCCTTTGTAAATCAAAATTTATAATGATTTACTATTTAGGAATTAATTTGAAAAAAGTATTTGTACATCAATTGAATCAGTCGATAAGAATTTTGAAAGTATCATATTAGTATCTTATGCTGGTGTAAATTATTGTTCAACGAAATTTAGGTCAACATGTGTATTTATATATCTAAGTTGATTCCCACACTTTTTTTTAAATTGTATTACTCCAATTCTTTCCATAGGCAAGTAAGGGTCAGTATGATTATCAACTGTCATGATTTTCAAATAATTACACTCAAAGGTGTAAGTATTAATTGGAAACAACCCCAGTCTTAATTCACCACAGTTAATATCTCTTGACCTGTTACATAATTAAATAGACACAATTTATTACACACCTAACTGAATACACACATTCTTGACCTCAATAGTAAACCTACAAATGTATTATTTATTTTTATCTACACTACATTAAAATTTTCTGTTAATTTTGCTAGCTAGCTGAATGATTATTCAGATGTGTTTTTTTTTCAAAGAAAAGACAAACATTGTAAAAAATATGTATAAAAAATGCAAGCAAATTTTATTTCACTTGTACTGTTGTAAAAACAGTGTCATTATCATCTGACATAAGTCAATAATCAAGTTCTAATTAATTAGTTACAATTATCAGAAATTTGGTTGAAACAAAAAACAAAATTGCATAACTCTTACCTGAGCATTTTCTGCAATAAAATTTATTTGTTTGTTCTACATTTATATCCCATTATATTGCTATTTGACAGTAATTGGAAATATCTCAGCATTAGGTATTTGTACATTTAAATTTGAATACAGGAAATGTATTTTTTCTTAGTGAAGAATGAACACCAATTTAGATAAAAAATAGTTATTATTTTTTAAAAATTTTTTGTTGTTGAGAAAGTGCATTTCCAAGGCCTCTTTCTGGAAATTATTAAGCCAGTTACTATAAATGGCATATTAAAAATATATATTACTTGTTTGAAGATTTCCTTTTCTATTCCTGTCAATACCATTAGATTGCAAATATTTATAAAAAAAAAATCTGACAGTCTAAAATATCTATCAATATTTGCATCAATATTGCGAATTCCCTCCCTTTGGACAATAACATAGAAATTTTACAGTAAGATTGGAAATGAAAAGAGAAACAAATGTTGAAAAAAAGTATGGTCAGAATGAATATCAGACTAGCATTGAATATGGCTGGATCACAACATCGACGATGCTTTGATTTTGTTAAGTGAATTTCTCACTTATTATGAGTAGTAGGATAACTATATTTGGTATATGGGTTCCTTGCAACGCCCACACGAATGAATGTAAGGTTTACATGTCGGTCTAGCCGGTATCATCTGACCTTGACCTAATTTTCATGGTTCATTGGTCAATGTTAGGTTTTTGTGTTTTGGTTGGTTTTCCATATACTTATAGCAATAGGTCAGCTATGTTTGGTGTATGAGACAATTGTAAGGTGTACATGTCTGTCTGACAGGTATTATCTGACCTGGAGCTCATTTTCATGCTTTATTGGTTAATGATAAGTTTTCGTAATTTTGTCAGTTTTTCAGATGCTATATGCAACAGGTCAACTATATTTGGTGTATGGAATGATTGTAAGGTGTACATGTCTGTCTGGCCTGGTTCATCTGACCATGACCTCATTATCATAGAACATTGATAATGTTTAGTTTATGCGATACTGTAATAAAACCTTCATGTTACAGACTTTCAACATAAATTCAATGATAAATAAGACAGACGAGACATTTCAGTGTGTGCACTCAAAGAAAAGACTAAAAATAAAATATGTATAAAAAATGCAACCAGATTTTATTTCACTTGTAAAATCAGTGTCATAATCATCTGACATAAGTTAATAGTTAAGGTCTTTTTAAGTCACAATTATCAGTAATTTGGTTGAAACAATAAATAACTTTGACGAGTTCAAAATCAGTGCCGATCAATTATTTTTAAAAGAGTTATGTCCCTTGGAAACATTAAATATATGGAAAGTTGCATTGTTAGCTCTCTCATGTGTACAATTCTTGGCAGAATTTTATGAAACTTAAATGATAGGTTTATATTAGCAATGTCTTTGACAAGCTCGAAAATCAGTGACGATCAATAATTTCTAAAAGAGTAATGTCCCTTGGAAAGATTAATTATATGGAAAATTGCCTTATGAGCGCTCTAATGTGTACAATTCTTGCCAGATTTTTTATAAAATCAATATTATAGGTTTATATCATCAATGTCTTTGACGAGTTCAAAAATCAGTGCCGATCAATTAGTTGTAAAAGAATTATGCCCCTTGGAAATATGGATTACATGGAAAATTGCATTGTCAGCATTCTCATGTGTACAATTATTGCCAGAATTTTATGAAATTTATATTATAGGTTTATATCAGCAATGTCTTTGACACTTTCTAAAAAAAAGGGCTGATCAAATATTTTTAACGAGTTATGCCCCTTGGAAATATTAATTTTATTGGAAATCATATTGCATTTGCTGTGAAGCCTTCATTTCTCTAAGATATTAAAAGTTTTAAAGAACAAAAAAAAAGTGCTTTTTTTAGTTATTGCCCTTGTTTTTGGATAGATAAAATATGTGCAACGTGGGGGACATTGGAACTCTGTTCTTTTATTATAAGATATTTTGAAAAGAGGTAAGTTTTATAGATTTTTTAAATACACTATGAATGATATTTTCGAAATTGTTTTTTTTTCTTTCTTTTTGTAAATTTTTTTAAGAGCTTCGTGGTAGGTTTGTTTGTTATTCTGTATTAATTAATTTTCAGAATGTTTTATATATATATATAAATTTTTTATGAAGCAAACCTCTTTAATAACTTAGCTAATATTGTCCATTAACAAATAAATAAATTAAATTCTTGGTTTACTAAGATATTATGGTCCATTATTAAATAACTGATTTAAATTCTTGGTGTACTTGGATATGCTAAATATAACTGTGTATTTAAATTTTGGATATTGGACCCTAATAGGTAAAATCCAATTTCATATTTTTCAGTTCTTTGACCACATTCGTTCTGTGACAGAAACCTATGATGTGTCAAATATTTAATCACAATCCAAATTCAGAGCTGTATCGAGCTTAAATGTAGTGTACATACTTGCCCCAACTATTCAGGGGTCGACCTCTGCGGTCGTATCCAGCTGCACCTAGCAGAGCATTTTATTTGATATGTGACAACCTTACTTCCAAAGACAATTCATTTTTGCACTCAATGACCCATCCAACCCTTTTTTGGTAGACATACATTTGTTTTTTGAAATGTACGCTTTATAGACTTATATTTGATATGCAACAATCTCACCATCTCAGAACTTTTTGCACTTAAAGGGATACTTCGCAAAAAAATGAAAAATTGATATTATGTTGATTATGTATAAAAAACCTCAAATTCATAAATATTAAAGTTTAATTCTGCTAGATAAGAGATCACCATCGATTTTAAATTTAGAGTATCACTTCTCCGCATGCTGCCATTTTGACATCATCCCTGAATAGAAACCACGATATATCTATAAACCACAAAGGACCAAAACAAGCAGTAACCTACCGTAGACGTAATTGAGTGTCGATATCTTGTCAAGCGTACAGTTGTTTTACCCGACAAGGAAAGCCTAAACAGTTTCCCGGGACACAAAAAAAGATTATAATAGATAATTTTTTTTTGAATAACTAGTACTATGGTCTGTTGTTTTAAAACTGTTTTTGAAACAAGAAATTTTAATGGAAATTAGTTTAAAAGTTCAAAGTGATATATATGCATTTTGAAACGTACAAATATTGATTTAACAAAATGTACGCACTTGTCGGTCATTGTCGGTCATTGGATTATACGCCTAGATAGAAGGTTACGGAACTATAGATAGTCGCAATTTAGAATATATACATGTATATTGAATATACGAGAGAAACATCCAAAACCAATCTGATTTAAATACAGGTCGATATCTAACTTGCTTTGGTTCATCGAAGTTATGCACATAGTAAAATCACAGTTTTTTATTTCAATTAGATTATTTTGAACAGTTTAAGAAAGTCGTCATCATCTCAATGGTTGTGTATTATGTATAATAATGTAGTAATGTGAACATGGTTCTATTATATCGCTAGTACCTCATGTCAATTTTCCTGTTCCGACTTGCATGTAATATATATGCCACTGGACGTACACTAATGATCCCCAAAAAGCTTATTTGAAGAAATAAAGAAACTTCACTCCGAATAGACTGATAGTAGATGTATTAACGTCTGGTCAGCTAGAGGGTTGATTAATTTATTTAGTTAGCTTAAAAGGGAGGGGGGGTAAACCATTCTAATATTGCACTTATGCATAAAATATTAAATGAGAGTAATATAAGAGAAAATATAAATACGAAAAGTCGCATATCTGGTAAAAAAAAGTCTCACTGGCAACTATTGAATTTCACGTACAATTGTCATTCTTAATCGAAATAACGGACAGTCATTAAAATACATGCATGTACACTTTGATAAAAAGGGGTGCTGCAGTTGCATATTATTCATCATAAATCTATTTCAAGTATATACTTTCCTGTCATTCTTATAAGTTAACGCAGAGACATGTAACTATACATCTCTAGTTAACGACAATCAACCATATAAATATTTGAATCTGATGTGACTTACCGTTCATCTCTTTCTTTTTTCTTCTTTTTTTTTGATTTGGGCAGGTACACAAACATTGTAATGATAGATATACTGTTCCAAGGTTGGGAGGGGGCGGTGGTTGGAGGTGAAGTATATCGAAAGTTACAAAATATTTAATAAGAAAGTTGTATTTATGAATTTACATGAAGAATTCTGATCTTGGGCGTAGGTTTCTTTTTTTTTAAGTTCAGTGATGTAATTTGAGAGAAAAAATTTAGTCAGAATTTAAATCGTACCGGCAATTTCCACCTAAGACTCCTCTAAAATCATGAATGGTCATGCTTCACAATCATCAGAATTTTCTTTGCATTGGTACATTCTGTATCGGTAGTGATTTACCTTGACATTTCAGGGTATAACAGAGCTACTTGTGTATTAGGTGACGTCCAATGAGGTCTTACGTATACAGGTTCACATTTATAATGGTTTCTGATATAACAAGGTTTTATGACATTCACACTTCTGCATGTTCTGTATACCAAATTCTTATCTTATTTTCAGACCAAACAAGGATGTGAATATTTTTCAGGAAAAATATTGAGTATCAAAGTATCAAATTAATTTTGGGATTTTTTTCTTTCTTGGTATTAAATCACAGAAACTTAAAGAATATACTGCTTGTCCGCTTTAGGTGTATTCTTGTCAATCTATATGTCTCTGGTATAGAGTGGGTTTATGAATGAATGATAAGTCTTGCAAAGGTACACGATATAAAGCACATTGAAAATTAATTCTGCCGGTCTGTCTCCATTCAAAAAAGGAAAGTTGACGTTAGATTGATTCTGTTATTTTTTTTAAACATCGTTGGTCAAATAGCTCAAGTATGTATACGTTGTGAGATTTTAAATATTTTAATAAGGGCATTCCCGATTAGGTAAATGTAGATCGCTGTGGACGGACCAAGCTATATTAATCATGTAACCGCGATAATTTTCTCTAAACATTGAAATATTCAAGGGAAATACCCATGATAATTTGAAAAAGTAAGTACAGTGTTTGGTTTATACGCTCGTTTTTCGTGGGCCATTTTTATTTATAAAATTATTTGATTGAAAGTAATTCAGAATTTCGATGTTACAACAAAATACTCACCTATCTATTTTAAAATTAAGCTTACGCAAAATATAAAAGATATACATGTATATAACGGCGATTCAGGTATTTTGCCACCATATTCCTCCCCAAATAAATAATGTTTATATCATTCATACGAAATGTTGTTCACACCTGTAACGGTGAACCGTGTTGGCTAAAATTCACTGCGTGAAGATCAAAAGAATAGAGTTACAGAATGCTAATCTTTTAATTACCTTGAATTTAACCACGCATTCAACAGGTAGTCACTAAGTGTCACAGTACAATACACATTGTATTTACACAGTACTA